TGTACATGTTTAAAGGATTTTGCAAATCACTGCATTTTATTTATCATACAAACATTCATGCATGTAATTTCCTCCCCCAGGCAGGGACCATAGCCAACATCTCCAGCAGTATTGTAAATCTGGGGCTCATACTGCTGATGGGCCAGGTCTACACCGCATTAGCTGAGCAGCTCACTAAATGGGGTAAGAATCAATGCTGCTCTCACACACCTCAAACCTCTGTGGTGTATATTGTTATCAGCTTTGTACTTGATTGCCACTAACTAAAAGCTCAGACTTCTCCAGAGCAGGTGAATCTCTTCAGTTGGATCCTTATGGTTATTGTTTCTGTCAAAGTAGCTGCATCATGTTGCAGAATTATGGGACTGTAAAGTACAGATACAGAGGACATAAAAAGTCTACACACACAACCTAAAACAATGTGGTTGGACACGTCTGCACGCCTTCTTATAATTAGGGATAAGATTAATCACATGTGAATTCATATTAAACATTAGTCATCAGTTAAAGTGACTCATTAAAATCAAATGAAGTTCAGCTGTTTTTGTAGGATTTTCCTGATGTGTACCTTGTGGCATCTTACAACAAAATTTGTGATCTGCAAATAACTTACAAACACATCAAACTGATCTCATTGCTGAAAATAGATGAAAAGAAAAAATACAATTACTGCCAGAACTGATGGAAAGACAAGAAGATAACTGGCCAGGGAGGTTTACAGCAACATTAAATGAGCTGCAGGAATTTCTGGCAAGAATTGGTTGTGTGCTACATGTGACAACAATCTCAAGTTAAACACACACACGATATACATACATCAGAGCGTCCACAAGCATGTAGGTTTTGTGTCATGATCTGATGAGGCCAAAGTTGAAGGTTTTAGCAGCGATTCCTTGAGATATGTTTGACACAAAAACAGAAGTTCACATCACCAGAGAAAAACTGTTCCTGCAATGAAGCATGGTAGTGATAACATTGTGCTTTGGGGCTGTTTTTCTTCATCTGGAACTACAGTAGGGGTTTAGTCAAGCTGGGAGGATTTATGAACTGTACTAAAATAGCAATCATTTTTCACAAAAAAAACCCTTCAGGCATCTGCTAGAAAACTGAAGATCAAGAGGATTTGGACCTTGTAGCACAACAGCAGCAACCAGCTGCATATATCCAGATCATCAAAATAACTGATTCACCAAAAAATGAGCCAGCCTGAGTACAGATTCAGATCCTGCTGAAAAACTGTGGAGTGACCTGAAGAGGACTGTGCTCAAAAGATGGCGCCATAATCTGAAAAAGTGTTTTTACAGAGAAGAGAAGGGCAAATAATGAAGACGTGCCATGCTAACAACTAACCAAAAAGACTGACTGCTGTAATAAACTGAAAAGGTGCTTCAACAAAGTTGTTAGTTTAACCCTTTAACTCACAGTGTACCATATTTGATACATGAGTTTTCATGAGTTCTTGAGATGTTCACATGATCAGTGTGCAAAAGCTTATTTTTTTAGGCAATAAATAAGAACAAATAAATAATAATTTTCTGACAATTATTTCATGGGTCAGGCTTTAAATAGCTAAGGATGTGCATATTTATGCAATCATATTGTTGTAAAAATTTTAGTGTACATGTTTAACCCCTCCAAAAAAATTGTAACTGTTAATCTTGATGTTTAAATAGTTCGGCCGCTGTTTAATATGAATATCTGTAGGATTGTTGATGATGTATCCAGCAGAGTATTTGTAGAATTATCTCATTTCAGTCAAGAAAGTATGATAGACGATCATTTTTGCTGCTGATTCTTGATTGTTATAAAAAAAGCAAAACAAAAAAACACACCAAATTCATCTAAATAAAATAGTTTACACTGTGGTTTCCCTTTTTTCTTAGTTTTGACTACCTGTAAACCAGTTATCATAATATTTTGTTATCTATATAAAAATCACTTTGAAGTCATTTAAACTGTCTAAGTGAAAACAAAGGCAACATTGTCTCGATGTCTTTAACTCTGTGTTTTTGTGCGATGTGTTGCAGAGATGCACAGAACACAAACCCAGTATGACAACGCTTTCATCTTCAAGGTGTTCATCTTCCAGTTTGTCAACTTCTACTCGTCTCCCTTTTATGTGGCTTTCTTTAAAGGAAGGTGAGACACACGAGTCACAACAGACACACAGGACAATCATGAAAAGATGAAGACACTGAGACAAAGAAAGTATTTAAGGTGCCGCTGATCTCTCTGTGATTAGGTTTGTGGGTTACCCTACCAACTACGGGACCTTGTTCGGGATGAGAAATGAAGACGTGAGTGATTTAGAGAGCTTGTAACGTACCAGCATGTGAAAATGATGCCCCCATAGTGTCATGTCTGTGTGTCTTTGCGTTACAGTGTGGTGCCGGGGGTTGTCTCATTGAATTGGCTCAACAACTTTTCATCATAATGGTGGGAAAACAGCTCATCAACAACATTCAGGAGTTCATCCTACCGTACGTTGCTACACTTTTAGCTTTTATGGGGTTTTTTATGTATATGTTTTATGTTTTTATAGAAAAATGTTGTCAATCTCCGGCATATTTAAACATCCTTTATTCTTCTTTTATTTACATCCTTTATTATTTATTTAAAAGCTTTCGTGGTTTATCAGGGCAAAAATTTCTTTCAAACAGACAGGAGTAAATTTTTTCTGTAATAAAATAATAATTAAACAAATTAGATTCAAACACATGAGAAATAAGTGCAGTGACTGTCAAATACAACTGAAAAGCTGAAACTGGTACAGATGTGGGAGATGCATAAAAGTAGCTGAGCTGTGTCATATTGTTCTGCAGTTCCAGCTGTTTAGTGCAGTAAATCTCATCCATGTGCCTCTGCACCATCAGCTGTGTGTGACTGTTTAAGACTTACTGCAGACAGTAAGTGTAAAATAAGGGCAGCAGAGGAGCAGTTCAGTAAATACGCTTAAAACCTCTGGCAAAATTATGTAATCATCACTCTTGAGGATCCAGCTCTTTTACTTTGTAGCACATAAACAAATCACAGATATGATGACAGAAATTATTGCTATACATGAAAAATAAATGGGCAGAAACAGGAGCCAACATTTGTTACAGAACTGTCAGAAACAGGCTGAATGAAATGAGATTTACACGCAGAGAAGCCAAACACAAGCCAGCGCTTACAGTGGGCCAAAGAGGGGCAGTCGTGGACTGTGTTAACTGATGTTAGTGATGAATCATAAATGTGGAGTGGCCGAGGGGATGATGCTGGAAATTTGGTCTTGTGCTGCTGCAGTGAAACAGACAAAGATGACTGCATAAAGAAAACAAGCACTTTTCCCCACTCAGTGGTGGGGCGGCATGTGTTGTAAAAGATGAGAGGGGATTGCAGCCACTACATCAGCAACAAATGCTTCCAGTGATAGAAAATAGGTTTGATTAACTAATTCCAACTGAAAGTCTATGGTGGTTATTGGGGAACAATGATTGCTGTTCAGCTACAAAAAATAGTCCTGTGTCATATCTGTGATGTAATGAACATCCTCTAAATGTGCTGTTTCTGTCATTTTTGCCATTGCATGTTACAATGCATACTAACATAAATCCTTATCCTGATTCCATGAAATGATCAGGTGACCCTGGAGTTATGCTCCAATAGGCCCAGGCTGCTGGGGCGCTCCCTCTTCACTCCTTTTTACTCTCTGCATGGTTTTGCACCACGTGTCTATTTAGTCATTAGCCGTTATTAAACTCTGGCACTTTCTCCCATAGTTATCTCTTTTCTCCTGTTTCTGCTGTCTTCTCCCATGCCATCACCCCCAAGTGGTCGCGGCAGATGGCTGCTCCTCCCTGAGCCTGCTGGAAGTGTCTTCCTGTTAAAAGGGAGTTTTTCCTTCCCTCTGTTGCCAAATGTTTGCTCTCAGGGGTTGCCTGTTGTTGTGGTTTCTTTTGAATAGAGTTTTTGTTTTAACCTTAGAGTATAAAGCACCTTGAGGCGAATGTGTGCCTTTATAAATAAAACTGAATTAAACCGAAAATGTCTTTTTCTTCCCTAACAGTAAAGTGAAGGCCTGGCGCCAGAAGAGAGCTCTGGCAAAAGTGCTGGGTGGCAAGGCATCCCATGAGCCTCGGCGCTGGGAAGAGGATTACCAGCTGGTTGAGTGTGAGGGCCTGTTCGAAGAGTACCTGGAGATGGGTGAGTATCCATATCTGGATTTAGAGACTTTATTATCACTGCATTCAACCGGATCGCCAGTTCAGTCCAACTAAAAATTCACACATAGATAATATCCATTTTGATGAAAAAATGCGAAGATTAATTATCTAATTTTCATTTCATGTGCTGCAGTGCTCCAGTTTGGGTTCATTACTATCTTTGTGGCGGCGTTCCCCCTCGCTCCGCTCTTCGCCCTCCTTAACAACTGGGTGGAGATTCGTTTGGATGCACACAAGTTTGTTTGCGAGTACCGCCGGCCGGTGGCTGAACGTGCACAAAACATCGGAGTGTGGTTTAACATACTGGAAGCTTTGTCACACCTGTCTGTCATTGCCAATGTGAGTTCATGTCTGATACATTATTGTCAGACTACATAGCAATATGAGAAAAAAAAGAACATTTATTATCTTTTATTCTTTTTCAGGCTTTCCTAATAGCGTTCACTTCAGATTTTTTACCTCGCCTGCTGTATCAGTACAAATTTGATAATGATCTCAACGGATACGTCAACTTCACCCTGGCTTACGCCCCACTCAACTACACAGAGTACCCTATGTGCAGGTATGCTGCTTTGATCTTTCTTTTTATGCTCCTTTTTATTCCTTCATCTTATGTGTCAAGTTCAACTTCTCATATATGGTTACTTTGGTGTTGCTAAGCAACATTTACGTTTCTTAACATTTAAGTTAAGTGTGTTTATGTCATAGCCTTGGCCAACAGTGGGTGATATTACTGAATATTAAGACTGTTCTTTTCATGTGCTGCTGCTGTATATTATACACACCAAGTATTACAAATATTTCTTGTTGTAACTTTGTAACAAATTATGTTTGTTGGGGTTTTCCAGATACAAAGCATTCAGAGACAACAATGGAAACTACACACTGTTTTACTGGGAGCTCCTGGCAGTCAGACTTGGCTTTATTATTGCATTTGAGGTATGACGGAAGCTTCCTAGCGTCTCTGTTTACTTCATTTTGCCTGTTTTAGTGGTTTTACCTTTGTTTAGTATTGCCTTTTCACTGACACCTCTATGCCAGTTCTGCTTGTTTGGACAAATTCTAATGATTTAGTCCTCTTTTACTGTTTTGTTTCCATCTGCATCACTTTTTATTGCCTCTTTATCTACCTCCTCTCTGCCGTTTCCTCACAGTTATTTGTTAATGCTCACCTGAGAGAGAAGAAATGATTCACCAGTTGTACAAATTATGTGGAAAATAAAAACTACAAGTACTGTTTTTCCATTTTCATGCTTGAAGATCAGCTGTCTGTTTGCTTAAATTTAATGACAATTTCTGATGTGGAGATTGTTCATACTGTTCTTGCTGTTGTTCTTACTGTCACCAGCACGTGGTGTTCTTCGTGCTGCGAGCCATTGACTGGATTGTACCCGATGTTCCCGAGTCTCTGGAGCTGAAGATGAAGAGGGAGCGCTACTTGGCTAAGCAAGCTCTGGCTGAAAACCAGGAGGCCCTGTTGGTGAGTCGAGCCCGAGCGGCCACCGCTGCCACTCCAGGCACCTCCAGCCCAGGTCAGTAAGAACATGGGACGCACACACACAAGGTCATGCAGCACACACTTCTCCATATAAAGTAAATCTAGTTAACAATGACCAGGTAAATATGTTCATATTAAACTCAATTAAATCATCTTTTGGATACAAATTTTTGTGTCTGAGAGCAGGAAAAAAAATAAAAACAAGTCTTTTCTATTAGAAGTTTCTAATAAAATGTTACCGTGCTTCCTTGTCAGCTGCACGATAAACAAATCCTCTGCAGTGTGTTTCCACGTAGGTGATCCATGCACTGTCAAACCTGTCACTGTCTCTGACACGGCTGATTCACACTATAAATTCCACAATTGAAAGGCTTTTAAGAGCTCACCCACCCACCTGCAAAGCACCTGCGGCTATACTGGCTGTCATAAACTCGCTGCGTACAGCATGATCATAATGGGTAACCTATGTGGGATCAGTGCCAAATATGTCGCTTGATTGCATCGCCAGTCTTTGTGACCTGATGTGTGTTGGCACGGGTTATTTCATCCATCAGCACTTCTGTTCAGGTTGGACTTTAAATAAAATGAAAAATCATTATGTTCAGCAAAACTAAGCAGCTTAACACGTCACATGTGAAATTTCATATTCTGCCCACGGGGATCGAGCGATGATTGTGGGGTATAGACTGTCATAGTGTGTATATTCATCCTCACCTGTATGTGTGTGTGTCCCCTTTGTTCTGGCCCACGCTGTTGTCATATGTCTCATGTAGTGAATGTTGCTGGATGAGGACAGGTAAGTACAGCACAGGTAAGTGAATGGCATTCCTACAAAGGATGTCATGATTTCAGTTCAGAAATATTGGTATTAATTTATATTTTTAAGCCGATTTTCTTTTGTTGTTTAATCAAAAGTTATAATGTAGTACATGTAAGTCAGCAAAACATCTGTAAGAAGTCAGTGGGCCCAGAGTTGCTCGCTGTTATGGTGATTATTTATCTCCATATCACATTAGTTAGTCTCTGTTTTGAAGCTGCTTATTTTATTTGCTGATCCAAGTTAATAGCTAGCTCTTTCCTCAACATTACTAACTAATACTAATTACTAATACTACTACTCCATGTGGTTTCATTGTATTTGGGATGCAAAGGTTTTGGATTGGAGTCTGAAAACTTGATTACAGCAGGTGGCATTGTGGGATTTTTATATCCTCTAACTCCCCTAAAGTCACATTTTGTTTAGTTTAATTTAGAACTTAGTTAGATCAACACTGTGTGAATTTAATGTGCATATTTGCATTGTGTAACCAGTTTATTTAGTGTTGTAGTTACCTGATGTGATCGCTGCAGCAAAAGTATCTGTGTCAGCCTTTTCCTCCTCTGTACCTCTTATTGTAGTCAGTCTGTTACAGCTAACTCTTTTTCTTGTCTTTCTGCTTTTTTCCCGTTACTTCTGCCATTGCCTCCTCTGAAGGAAGTGACACGTCCCTTGGAAACATGAGTTAAGATTCCTCTGTGGAAAAGAAGCAGTGGGACTGAACGCTGGTGGAATATGAGACTTTCCTTTGTATCTTGGATAAGTGAAATTTTCCCAAGAAAGTGGAATACTGTCTTGGGATTGGTTTTCATATCACTAATACATATTCATCTGCACAGATACGTGATAAGCAGGTGTGCTTTGGCCCGCCCACCTTCTTCATATGGACATTTCTCCAACATGTTTGGGATTTTTTTTTTCAATCTCATGGTTATTGCAACATTATCAGAGTCTGATATTTCTTTACTGGAGCAAAGGGCATGAATTTATAAAGCATAAATCTATGTATTGCTAAATAATTAAGCAACGTATGTAGGGAAAATTAGTATGTTGATTGGCTTCCACTAGCTGCAGCATGCACTGTTAATGCTACCTGACTCCACGCAGGTGTGGGACTTACTTGCAGTACTGTGTGTGTATCCCACGCAGCCTCAGATTGACTTCAAAGTCTAACAACATGAACTATTTAAATGATGCCAAATGTTGTATTGACAGAGCATAGTTTGAAATGGCATAAATTGCAATTTGCAGTGTTTTTCTTGGAGTTACTGTTGGGATACCCAGAGGACCTGAAATGTAATGAAGTCGGATTACACCTTGACTCTGCAAAAGCTCATCATGAATATTTTTTGGGGGGGCTTTATAAAACTCCTCTGAAGGGACAGAAGGCTTCAAACAAAGGAGTGCACAGGATCAGTAGTGCCACTCATGGAAAGAAAACAGACTGTGTGAGCTCGGCAGACTGCCTCTTTAATCTGTATGGTTATTATCTTTATGACGAATGCTGACTTGAGGTCAAAGTTCACCTTTCTTGGACAAACTGTTGCAACAAGATCAACAGAGTCAACAGTGCTTTGGGGGTTTTTGCCCCTCATTTTCACAAAGCTGGCATTGTTCACTGACTGTATTATCATCACATAGTTTATGCTGCGTTTTCACTCAGCACCAAGCATGAAAGTCTTTTCTACGTGAATGTCCTGCACAGTATGGCTGTACAGTACTGCTGTACTGTAAACAGGAGTGAAACAGCACCTGAGCAGAGGCCATATTTTACGTATGAGCTGTTTTGTCATTTTTGATCAAATAAATCTAGTTTGACGAACGCAAACACCTCCTCGATGTGGGATTCACAGCCTCAGAGATGCTGTACTTGCTGGAACTTTAATCCTTCCACACCATCTGTCTTCTCCACTTTCTTCTTCTCTTCATTTTTCCCTCCTTCTTAAAACATCACCTTCCCCCCAAAAAGATGAAAAAGTCTCTGATTTATTTGGAGT